CCCCTTCTCAGTCAGTGTTGCTCAGTTGGAGAATAGATGGTCATTTTATGGTTTAAAACTAGCAATACCCTCAACAGGGAAACATGGAAAAAAAAAGGGTCTAAATTTCTAATATGCTAGTGGGGGGGTGACCTCAGTTAACCAATCAGACATTGCACCTATGAGAAGTTTGAAGTTAACTTCCATGTTGGATATTTGTTGGTCGTAAAAGTTATTTGGAATCTCACCTTGGGGTTAATAGAGTGTCAAGTTCATAATATTATTTGGTCTTAACTTGATAAAGTAACAGAAGATTGTAAACTATCAGGATAAAATCAGTTTAACAATAAATCTGTCAACGCCCCATATCAGCAAGAATTGAATAATTATTAATATTTATCTCAAAACATGATCTAATTTTTAATAGAATCATTAAACAACTGTATATGTGTGCATTAATTTATTCATATATATATAACAAATAAATATTTACATAATCTGTCTATAACTCTGAGATGAGGCATTATGATTATTTACATTATTTGGACCATTATCCTCATCTTCATTGGCTCAAGGAAACATAGCCCAGTGGATATAGGCATTGGTTAGATCCAGAGAACTAGACCCAATATTTGTGAGTTCAATACCATGCTACAGCATTGGTGAACCAAAAACCTGGAGAGTTGAGCTAAAGGGAAATAACTGAAGCATCTAAAAAAGGTATGACACATGGAACTAGAACAACCTATCCTGGTGGAAGAAACAAAGGGCTTGGCTCAAAATTCCATTCACCTGAAGAAGGTTGGCGCATACAATGGCTGAAACATTGTGAATATGGCTATGAAGATGAGCATAACAGTCCAAATAATGTAAACAATGCAAATAATCATAATACATTATCTCAGAGATCCAGTCACCTGAAGTTTACGGAGTATAAAAATCAAGAACGTTGCTAAATATGGCAATGAAGATGAAAGGATAATAGTTAGTTAATAATTTAAATAATGCAAATAATCATAATACCTCATCTCAGAGATCCAATCATCTGAAAATATCGGATCGCATAAACAATATACAAACATTGTGAATATGGCAATGAAGATAAGGAAAACAGACTGAATAATGTAAATAATCTTAAGTAATCATAATACCTCATCTCGGAGAAAAGTCACCTGAAGAAGGCCAAAGCGAATAATGGTAAACATTTTGAATATGTCAATGAAGATAAAGGAAAACAGACTGAATGATGTAAATAAATAAAAATAAAAGGTTTATATCCCATGTTTCCTGTTTTTTAAGATTGCGTTTCCGGGTCCTTCTGAAGTCCCATTTCAACACAATACTTCTGTCATCTCCGACTGAACACTGAAATGCTATTCACTAATTAAATTTTGACACCTTCAAGTCTAGAGTTGGTCGTTATCTTTCTCTGCATGGCCCTAGGAACATCACTTCCCTTTTCTAACCAAGGCCTTTATCCAGTGACTAACCCCAAAGAGTTGTGAGTTCAATACCAGGCTACAGCAGTGGTGAACCAAAAAACAAAGAGTTGAGTTAAAGGGAAATAACTGAGACATGAAAAGTAAAACTAGGACAGTCTACCCCAATGAGCGAAATAAAGGGTTCATTTTGACATTCCAACCACCTGAAGAAGGCTGGAGTGTACAATGGCCGAAATGTTGCGATAAATATGGCAACAAAGATAAGGATGATAGTCCGAATAATATATATATATATATATACAATAAATATATATAAACAAAATATATATATATTGGACTCTCCCAGTTTTAATTCAAAGGATTGACCAATTGATTCAGTTTGAAATTTTTTGTGATAATCTTAAATGGCAAATTTTCAAACCATAGTGATTTACAAAGGAGGCCACATATGGAGCAATCTTTTGAGGCCTGTGAGATGAAATCACTGTTAGATTTTTTGACCTTTTAGATCTTGCTCTCGCTTCTTTAAAATGATTTAGACAAGCAGATTGAAAATTGCTGAGTCCACTAAAACACGTTGATCTCCATTCTACCCGCTCCAAAGCTAAGCGCTCAAGGGTGTTATGTGGTATATTGACTGCTGACAAGTTGCTTTTCAGCTTGTCTTTGTATCTTAGCCATGGGCATCCTACATTCCTGTAGCCCTGATCTAACTGGCTGTACATTAGGATCTTGGGTATCCTGTCATCAGACATTCTCAAGACATGACCAGTCCACCGTAACTGAGACTGTATGATAAAAGTCTCGATTCCTCCAATATTACACCTATTAAACAGGTCTACATTAGATGTCCTATCTTGAAGCTTAACTCCACAGATTGCATGCAGACAGCTTTTATGGAAAACATCTAACTGGCGTATATGGTACCTGTATGGAGTCCATGACTCTGAGCCATACAAAAGAATGGCATATATATATATATATATATATATATATATATATATATATATTATAAGAGATAACAATTGACATAGCATTTAAATTTTTGAAGATCAAAGGCAATAAAGCCACTATGACGCATAGGGTTACTGAGTGTTAGAGAATATGAGAAAAGCAACTATTAAGAAGAGAATACAATAAAAGCACAAGAATTAAGAAGACAGAAGATAACGATTGACACTACATTTCAATTTTTAATGATCAAAGGCAATAAAGCCACTAAAGAAGGTAAAGGGTTGATAAACCGTAAAAAGTAAATCACTCATTAATTTTCCTCTGTTTTAGTCCCCGTCCTCGATCAAGCTCTGGAGACTGACATGCAAAAAAAACAATCAGCTTATGTTTTTTTTTATCTTTCAATTCCTTTGCCCCTTTGTTCGTTGATTTGAAAACAAAAAAATTTAAGATCTATAATGAAAATTTTAAAGGGATAGAATACAAAATATTAAAATAAACAAAGAAATATATTAGAAATATATATTATAGTGTAAAAGATTCTAACCTTCACTTATCACAATGCCAATCAAGTCTGTAATAAGAGGCAACACTGACTCCTGCAAGATGGGCTCGGACAACAAGACATTCATAAAAGGATCAGGGTCGTCACTGCCATGGCCCTCGAGAAGAGCTTTGATTGTGACACAAACCTGTCAAAAAGAAAAACAGAGAAAAGATTGAGTAATTATGTGATTTTTTTATTCACTAATAAAAAGCAGATATTTATTATCAATGTGTGTGTGTGTGTGTGTGTGTGTGTATATATATATATATATATATTTCTACATATATAGTGGACTCTCCTATTGTATTCGACGTATGAGGGTCAAGCAACTCACTTCCTAGGAACAGACAGCCAGACATCAGTACATATGATGGGATTATAGTGGTGAAGGCTTTGTGCAGAAGCAACAACACTTTTGATTATTTAAATTTACAAAAACCTGGTGCACTAAATTCACCACAAGGTCCCCAAATGACCCTCCATAGGTTTTGAATTCAAAGTTGTTCATCTCCTAGACCAGTTGCCATCCAAGGCTATAGAAGCCAGTTTGTCCTGCTATTTACCCATAGCTGGAGAGAGAAGAAGAGGATTCATTTCTTTCCCAATGGTATTAGCACATAAATGAATGTAATGGATTCGAATGGAATTTAAACCCAACTCTCCGATTCCTCAATCTGAGCCTCTATCCACTACTCCACCATGCCTCCCCATATATATATATATATATATATATATATATATATATCTCGATGATGAGAATTATTTTAATATATAAAAAAAAACGTTCACAGCATTAATCCAAAAGAGAGCTCAATACCAATAGTAGAACAATAGTTATTTATTATCATTTTATCATATAGACAAAAACATTTACTCACTATAAAGATACAACTTCGTTTGGTGCATTTCAATTGAATATTGTTTTTGAGAGAAAAAAATGGTTATGAACAATTCTGCTTGTAGGCAAGCAGTATATGAAACGTCACTTCCATTTTTCCAATTGTTTGGGAAAAAATATACATAAAACAATAAGGTAACGGAGTGAAACAATATTGCCTGTTGATAGTAGATTGGTGAAGGATAGGTGGGATGTTAAAGTGATGGTCAGACAGGAATAACGGTTTATTTTTCTTAGTGAGTAAACTTATTTTTTTGTCTATATGAAAAAAATTAATATAATTATTTATAAAAAAAAAATGATTTCAATGCTACAAAAAGATTTCTCATTTTTTTCCAAAAAGAAAAAAAAACTTCAATATAATTATTTGAATTAACGGCTCTTGTTTTGAAACATGAGAACTCTTTTTAGCATTGAAAAATATTTTGAATAAATAATTATATTTGAACTTTTACTTTTGTATTGAGCACTATTTTTTTAAAATAATAAAAAACTTTGGATATATATAGATATATATATACATACACACACACTCATTTTCACAAGTACTTTCAGTCTCTTCTGAGACTATCTTCAGGGGATTAAGCTGTCTCTTGAGTATGTATATATGTTTCTGTAAAGGTAGTAACAGTGAGCACCAGGACTTGACCAACAAACATTTTGAAAGAGCAGGAACATATGGAATGGAGGTCAGCTCTGAGAAATCCAAAGTAATAGTGAATAGCACAAACAGTAACACTTGTGTCAACATTACCATGAATGGGAATTCATTGGAGAAGTGTCCAGTTTTAAATACTTAGGAACAATCATGTCTAATAATGGTACCTGCAACTTGAAAATCAGTACATGGATTGCCGCAGTCATGGCAGCAATGACCAAATTGACAAGAAGATAGAGGAGTAAAATCAGCTTTCAAACAAAGTACAGACTGTACAAATCCCTCATAGTCTCTATTTTCCAAAATGGATGTGAAACATAGACACTGTTGGCAGATACAGAGAGAAGGATCCTAGCATTTGAGAACAAATGTATGAGAAAACTCCTTGACATTTTCTATTCGGAACAAAAAATGAGTTTGTGTGGAAAAGGGTTAAAAGTTTTGTGGGCCACCAGGAACCTCTTCTTTCCGCTGTCAAATCAAAAAAAAATGGTGTGGTTTAGACACATTACAACACATGGCCTGTGCAAGACCATCATGCAAAGCAACTGTGAAGGTTGGCGTAGAAGAGAACACCAACACAAAGACTGTTTGGACAATATCAAACAATGGACAGGTATACCTGTACCAGAATTGCTGATGGCTGCCATTGATAGACCGTTGTGGAAAAGAGTGTGGCTTCTGCCTTCAGATCCACCCTACGATTACAAAGGTCAAGGGGATGATGATGTGTGCATACACAGATAAGTGAATAAATATTTACTTAATATCTGTCTATATCTCTGAGATGAGGTATTATGATTAATTACATTATTCAGATAAATTATCCTCATTTTCATTGCCATATTCACGTTTCAAATTTGTTTCATTTGCCTTCTTCAAGTGATTGAAATTCCAATCACCTGAAGAATTTTTTATGATCCAAACAAAAAAACATTGTGAATATGGCAATGAAGATAAAAATAACAGCCCAAATAATGTAAATATTTACTTAATTTAATATAAGGTGTAGATAAAACAGTGCTCAATGTAGTTAAAGTAAAGAAGATACTGAATAAATGGAATGAATTTATGATAGCTTTTTAATCACAGGTAAAAACTTTCCTAAAGTATTTAGATCATTTATCGGGATATCACATGCCCTTTACGTTACATATTGATTACACCCCTTTAACCATTTAAGTGTCTGTTAATATATAATGAACTACAGTGTTCCTCTTTCCTTATCTAAACTTTAAGAATGTATGTTTCTGTTTCCAATATTCCCCTTCCTACACTCTACATCTTGTATTTACACCACAATAATATATTAAGTTTATATAAACTTTAAGCTCTGAATCTGTGTTTAATTTAGCATTCCTTTCATGAGACCCAGTATTTAAAAACTAAAAACAAGCATCAGTATTTCATTCATCAGTTCATGCCTGATAATTTAGGAAAACCACGAAACTTTAATTTGCACTACAAATGCAGATGTGTGAGTGTGTGTATATATATATATATATATATATATAAATATACATTAAAAAAAAAATTTTTTTCATGCTACCTTTTTCAATCACTAGATATATATTTCCCCTAACGAGATCTATTAATCAAAAATTAGGTAGTGTATTGCAAAAATTTTTTCAAAGGTATCTCTCTGCATTTTTGTTGTAGAGTAGTTTCACCATGGAGGCCTGTATTTCACTAAGTCGGCCCTAAAAAGATTCAAAATTTTACAAAAACGTTAGCAACTTAATATAATAGTTAATGATGCCATGCAATCTAGTCTTGGTGGTTGATACTTTAATGTCCAATATCGATGACTGACCAACTCACTGAGCTCACTTATACTGCTACTACTTATAGGTAGAGTCTATTAACAATAGAATAGGTATGTTCCAGTATAACAATTTTATATCTTATATTTTATAGCTTGAATCAAACATTTTCAAAGGTGTTTATGCCTTTCTAGGCACCCCTTTTTTTTATATTTTTTTTGGCCTCCTATTATAACATTTTAAATAATTTATATATATATATATATATATATATATATATATATATATATATATATATATATATATATATATATATATATATATATATATATATATATATATATATAGCATATGTGTAAAATGTTTAGAAGGTTCACAATTCTGACCATGAGACCCAGGTTCAAATCTCACCATTGTCAGGAAGGAGATTTCCTGATGTTATCAAACTGGAGGGTTTGATCTCAGCATGCGCCAACTTTGGAAAGTGCCTGGAAAACCATACCATGGGTTGACCCAAGTCGTCATGGCCAAGGGCTTGAGCGTGATGGCCTTGTTCAAATTGTTGATCAAACTAGATAACATGCTCTTTTCCAAAAACTGTAACTAACGTCTTCTCAGTATAGTTGCAGTAAAAACCACAGATGGACTCTGTAGGTGTTGTATAAACACAAATGCACCTGAGCAAGCATCTGCAATAGGGATTGGCTAGCCGTCCTAGTAGACGAGTATCTTCGAATACAAGTGGCCAGTTATACATATATTTTCTGTTTATACATTATTTTTTATAGATACAATTTATTTAAGTAAATGCTCTGTTTTTAATCAAACAGTATTAATTACATTTACTGGTCTATCAGGAATAGAATGAATGCAAATATAAAAATAGACATTGAGATTAACACCCAACAGTGAGACAGTCTGTTTCATGCTTAAACACAATCATTAATCCTGATAATTGTGTTCAAGCATGGAAACAGACCATCACCACTATGTTGACCCCAATGTCTACTTTTATATTTGAATAAACTATTCCTGATATTGAGCACTTTAAACCATAAATATAGCATACCTTAAAATTATATTTTTATCAAAACACATATATATATATATATATATATATATATATATATATATATATATATAAATAAAGTTGTAGCCTCTGTCAGTTTGTTATTGAACTCCTCCTTGAGTTTTGGAAATAGACTCTCATAACCATGTATATACTAAAACTACATTACTCACAGGACTTGGATAAGTATACTTTATTTTGATCAAAGGGGTCCCCAGAAGGAACAATCCCCACCAACTGAAAATTTTTTCTCCCTCTGATATAAATTCAATTTAAATTTGAACACGGGAATGACTCCTAGGATATTTGGATAAATATATTTCATTTTGATCAAAGAGAGTGCCTGGAACACACAACCACCGCCAATTAAAATTTTTTTCATTTTGATTTAAATTAAATTTAAATCAGGGCATGACTCCTATCCAAAATATAGAAGAAGAAAGCCAGAAGATGAAGGTCACATCAGCAAGATCAGTGATTAATACTGAAACACATCATTTTTCTCCACAGATTATAACAATGATTTAAAATCATCATTTTGTTACAAAAAAAGAATCTGACAAACAGTAAGACACAGCTAATTTGTCTAGTATATATATTATTTATTTAAAAATTATAACATAATTATGTTATAACACCACTACAAAAATAGCCATTTTGTTTCAACACTTCTGGTGTCTTGTCAAATAATGGTGTTGAAACAAAATGGTTATTTTTGCAGTGATGTTATAATTTTTAAATAAATATTATTCGCTCTACTTTGTATTGTGCACTTTTTAAAAAGTATTCCATCTATACCAACATTGTATTCATATATATATATATATATATATATATATATATATATATATATATATATATATATATATAGAGAGAGAGAGAGAGAGAGAGAGAGAGAGAGAGAGAGAAAGAGGTTAATGATTTAAATGGCGAGAATACATCTTCACAAACAATTTCAATAAGGTACACTAACCCCAAACCTGTACATGAATGATATGATCCCTGTTTATACAAATCTATTTCTATACCTGAGGATGTCTGTAGGAACAGATGAAAGCTTGTAAAAACTAAAAAAGACCTTATGTAACTGGAATTTATAAACAGGGATCATTATCATTCATATACAGGTTCAGGGTTAGTGTACCTTATTGAAATTGTTTGAGAAGATGTATTCTCGCCATTTAAATCATTAACCTCTATATTTTTTTTTTTGTATGAATGATTCATGTAATTATAAATTGAACTGCACCTATAATCAAAATATATATATATATGTGTGTGTGTGTGTGTGTGTGTGTGTGTGTGTGTGTGTAAACAACACTCATGAAACAAGGAGTATTTCTGCAATGTCCCATGTCATGTGATGTAGATTATTTTTTTTAATCAGCATTTCCTCTTCAATGATTGTAGGTATACTGAAATATTCTTGGTTTTCCAGTTCAAAATTTTCCCTTCTGAACTTTGCAAATCATTTATGAACAGTCTTCTCAGCTATGGCACCATCTCTATAAATGGCACATATATTTTTCTACTGTTTGTACAGCAGTTTTCTCTTTCCAGTAGTCAAAGTTCAAGTTTAAGTGAATTTTTATTTTTCAATTGTCATTTTATGCCAAAACTGATTTATTTTGGTTTATATTGAGGAAAAAATCTTTGTTTCTTTTATATTTTCAGATATAATCCAACTGATTTCAGGAATGTTATGATTCTGTTTATTTGAATATTTTTGAATAGTTTTTTTAGGCTGTTTGGCTTGAAGAAATTGTGCCTTTTTGTGTCAAGATCAATGCATTTAATAAGAAAATGTTTTACTGTATATTGGGTTTGGCATGACAAACCCTACAGTCATTCTTGTTTCAATAAGAATGAATGTGTCATTTTAGTGTGTCTAGGGATTTTCCATAATGGCAGTCATCAAAGAGCATCAAATTTAATGTCAAAACATATAAAATTCCCTATCCATTAATCATGTCCCAAAGTGCATTAAAATGTAACCTTTCAGAATATATATATATAATGTATATATGAAATGGACAAAGTCCAACAATTATAGATACAAATATTTAAGTAAATGCTCTGTTTTGTAATAAACAGTATTAATAACATTTACCGGCCTGAATGTCCGAGAAATTTTCATACAAAATATTCGTCCTCCGACAGGAATCGAACCTGTATCCTATATGAAACCATGGTTAGCAAGGTTGACTTTACTGCTTTTAAACTAAAATCTTCCATGAATCTCTCGCATACATTCATATCTGCTCATGGCATATCCAAATGTAAACAAATGACATCACACATTATGAAATGGACAAAGTCCGACAATTATTTTTAAGACATTTTTATGTTTATACATTCTTTTTAGAGATACATAAAAATGTCTTAAAATAATTGTCAGACTTTGCCCATTTCATAATGTGTGACGTCATTTGTTTACATTTGGATATGCCATGAGCAGATATCAAATTTATCTAGAGATTCATGGAAGATTTTAGTTTAACCACTTAAAATCGGCATTCTAACTGTAAATGATTTCTTGGCCCAATCAGTTAAGGCACATTACGCTATATGACAGTCCCATATAGGATACAGGTTCAATTCCTGTCAGAGGATGAATATTTTCTATGAAAATTTCTCGAACATTCAGGCCGGTAAATGTTATTAATACTGTTTATTATAAACAGAGCATTTACTTAAATATTTGTATGTATAAAAAGAATGTATAAATATAAAAATGTCTTAAAAAAGTGTGTGAGTTCAATACCCGGTTAAGGCAGTAGAGTACTTTCAGAGGGAAATTAGCAGGAGATAGCTGATAACTAACATCCATCAAACATGGCACATGGAACTAGAACAGTCTAACCCAGTGAGCGAAATAAAGGGCTCAGTTCGAAATTCCAACCACCTGAAGAAGGCCGGAGCGTACAACGGCCAAAACGTTGTGATAAATATGGCAACAAAGATGAGGACAATAGTCCAAATAATGTAAATAATGTACCTACTCGTATGTTTAATATAATGCTCCAAATCCTTTGTAACCCCTTGCGTGCAAGTGGCTTCACACCTTGCTTGGGGTGAAATTCTTAAAAAAAATATAATGTAGTTGAAATAAAATTCATAAATAAATTTTTTTGCTAAATAATAATCTAGCAGAGTATTATTCTTTTAAAGAATTGTATTTCTCCTTTGACTTGCTTATTTTGACCTTTGAGGTCAGATACAGGAAAACAGAGAAAGTCATTTTGATTGGTTAAAACTAGCGTGGGAATGTTAGAGTTAGAAAGTGTTTTCAGGGAGTTAAGTTTTTACACGTCATACACATGTGGTTATTTCGTGTCTCGGGAAACTTGCTCCCCAGTGGGGGTGATAGAGCAACCCCACTGGCCAGTTAAAAATGTACTCATTAACATGTTTAATAAAGTAGTAAATCAAAATTTCTTTTGTTGAAGTTCTCATTTTACCTCTGAACTAAAAAACAAATTAACGATCACCCAGCTGAGAGAAGAAAGAGAGGAGGACAACTTTATCATGATCACCTCAAGACCAAGAACAAGAGGGCTATACAACATTTTACTTATTTCGCATAGCGGCCAAGATCTCCCCAGAAGAGAGGGAGTATATAATACTTATGGAAGGAAAACAAAAGAAGTAAAATAATTTCACAGTTTAAGAGGAGAAGTATAGAGTTGAAGTAGACTTTAGAAGGACCCAGAAAACCAATCTTAAACAGGAACAAAATAAATAGTAAGTAAAATTTCACAATTTAGAGACATTAAAAATATAGAGGTGAAGTCAACTTTAGAAGGAACTGGAAACCTAACCCTAAACAGGAAACAAGGGATAAACCTCTACTCCTGTTCAAAAAACCAAGGAGGAGTTTGAAATGGGTGATAGGCAAACCTATCTACTCCTACTGAGGAGAAAAAAATTAATTAGTAAATAAAATTTCAGCATTTAAGTGGAGACGTTAGAATAATTATTGTTAGGCCCAAAATTTGGCATTGATACAATCTTTTCACGGTTCAGGAATTTTTGCCAAATAATTTCCTCCAAGACTGCTAAGGAAAAGGTTCGGAAAAGAAATACCTTTGCAAAAGATCGGGTTCTCATCAATAATTACACAATGAACTGATGAATGGCAAATGAGATGCCAATGTTTTAGGCTCGAGAAGTTCTTGAAATGATTTTCTTCAAGATCTTCTCTGAATTACTAACCTGATCTGGTTGCGCCAGAAATACAAAAAGTTTCTGAAGAAATTCTTCATTGAAAGACCTGGAAAGACAAAACAAAAGTGTAAAAGAATGATTTTGAAAAGTCACAAGATGAAACTTTAAAATATTTGGGGTTTTTTTTAAATTTCAGCTGAATGAAGACAATAATGCCACTAAGACGGTTACAAAGAGTGAAAATGAATGAGAAGATATTAATGAGGAAAAGACAATAAAGGAATAGGTTTCATGACGACAGAAGATGTTGACTGATGTTGCATCTAAATTTTTTAAAATTTTAGATGGAAGGAAAGCAAGAATACAGAAGGGAGTTCCACAGTGGATAAGTGCGAGAACAGAAACTGATAGAAAAGATGTTTGCATCTAGCTAGTTCAATAGTAAAACAGTGATATTTGATTTGATTTGTCTGTTTAACAGCATATCAACTTCTTTATGGGTCATTAAATGCTGAATTTTAATTTTCTTGGGAACTGTGAAGTAATAGAAATATATGTTATTCTGCTTTCACAGTTGAATACATAGTAGATGATACTCAGCTTTGTGGATTTACATGTTTACACAGATATAATTACTAGAGGCGGTGATATGTTTATGTTTAGAATACAGTTTAATTTTTTTTTAAGAAATTACTTGCATTATTTTCATTATTCAGACTGTTATCCTCATCTTCATTGCCATATTCATAACCTTTCGGTCTTTGTACACTCCAGCCTTCTTCAGGTGATTGGATCTCTGAGATGAGGCATTATGATTACTTGCATTATTTACATTATTCAGACATTGTTATCCTTATCTTCATTGCCATATTTCTGTTTCGGCTGTTGTACACTCCAGCCTTCTTCAGGTGATTGGAATTTTGTACCAAACCCTTTATTTCATCCACCGGGGTAGATTGTCCTAGTTTCACATGCTATGCCTATTCTGGATCTCTCAGTTATTTCCCTTTAATTCAGTAATAAGGAATGCTAGAGAAAAGTAATGAACAACAACAACAAAAATTGCAATATAAGTTCTGGTAAAAAATGTAATAATAATAACAACAGAAAAAAAAATCATAATATGAGCTCTGGTAAAAAAATGGTTGCTGAGACATTAGGTCTATAAGTCCCAAAAATTCATACACAGATGTCCTCAAGGACAAATGGCCCAGTGAACTCTTTATTTCGCCCACTGAGGTGGATTGTTCTAATTCCACATGCCATCCCTCATCCAGATGTCTCAGTTATTTCCCTTTAACTCAACTCTCTATGTTTTGGTTCACCACTGCTGTGGCCTTGTCTTGAACTCACAACTCTTTGGGTATAGTCACTGAATCTAACCAATGTCTTTATCCACCAGGCCATGTGTCCTTGAGGGTTCATTTTGAAATTTCAATCACCTAAAAAGGCTGGAGCATACGACAGCCAAAACGTTGTGAATATGGCAATGAAGATGAGAATAACAGTCCGAATAATGTAAATAATACAAGTAATCATAATACCTCATCTCATTGCTCGCAAGTAATTTCTTAAAAAAAAAAAAAAAAACTGAATTCTAAACATAAAGTACACACATAACACTGCCTCTAGTAATTATATCTACAATATGGCAGAAGTACTCAATTTAGTCTTCTCATCAATTACAGAGACAAGTCTTTAAATTTGCTTTGTATTTAAAACATACTGATTAGGGGATTAGTTTTTGTAGGTTACTAACCTTAATTTGTTATTCACTAAATCATTGCATTGATTATTAGAGTGAATTACTCCTTCAAGTTTTAGCATATTATTTTGTGTTGTATTAATTCTTTTATTGTGTTAGACATAGTCGCAACAAATTTTATACATTACTAGCAGTAGAACCCGGCGTTGCCCGGGGATGTAACAGTAAGAGATAGATCAAGTATCAACCATCATAAAGACTGAAAAATAAAATTGACAAAGATTATTGTTTAAGGCTGACGGGACACACATGTCTTAATTTTTTTTTTTTTTTTGAATTGGTGAAACCCAAACTCAAACAAAAACATTGTTTTCAATCGTTATGAGTCTACCGATTGAATAGAATTTTATTATAAACAATTGTCTTGCAAATGGAATTTTAAAGCATTCTGAATGTAAAAATAAAAAAAAAAGTGTGCAAGACAATAAGAAACACTATCTAAAAAAAAAAAAAAGTGATTTTTTGTTGAAATTGGTTGAAAAATGTAGGAAATCTGATCCCATATATAAACGAACACAGACACACACTAACAAACAACCTGGGTTTTATAAGTATAACTTGATATAAATTGTCCCCCTTTCATTCTCGTGATGCCTCTTAACTGTGTTTTCAAATTGATTTCGTGCAAAAACAATTGTGTTTTTCCAATTTTTGTTGCTGTCAGAACCACCGCAAGGTAATTTTACAGTCCTGTGAAGTTTTGTTGAAATCGGTTGAAAAATGTAGGAAATCCGATTCAATATATAAACGAACAGACACACACACAATCTGCGTTTTATAAAAAGTATGATGAAATGGACAAAGTCCGACAATTATTTTAACACATTTTTTATGTTTATACATTCTTTTTATAGATAAAAATATTTAAGTAAATGCTCTGTTTATAATAAACAATATTAACTACATTTACCGGCCTGAATGTTCGAGAAATTTTAATTGAAAATATTCATCCTCCGTATTTACATTTGGATATGCATTGAGCAGATATGAAGGAATGAGAGAAAATCATGGAGAATTGTGTTTAAAACAGTAAAATCGACCTTGCTAACTGAATGCTCCTCTGTGGCCCAATTGTTTAAGGCACATCAGGCTGTATGACAGTTCCATTATAGGATACAGGTTTGATTCCTGTCAGAGGAGGCATATTTTCTATGAAAATTTCTTGGACATTCAGGCCGGTAAATTTGTTTAATACTGTTTATTATAAAACAGAGCATTTACTTAAATATTTGTATCTATGAAAAGAATGTATAAACATAAAAATGTTTTAAAATAATTGTCAGACTTTGTCCATTTCATAATGTCTGACGTTATTTGTTTACATTTGGAAACGCCATGAGCAGATATGAATGTATGTGAGAGATTCATGGAAGATTGAAGTTTAAAGGCAGTAAATTCAACCTTGCTAACCAAACGCTGCTCTGTGGCCAAATCGGTTAAAGGCACATCAAGCTCTATGACGATCCCGTATAAGATACAGGTTCGATTTCTGTCGGAGGACGTGTATTTTCTATGAAAATTTCTCAGACATTCAGGCTGATAAATGTTGTTTAATACTGTTTATTGTAAACAGAGCATTTACTTAAATATTTGTAGCTATAAAAAGAATGTATAAACATAAAAAAATGTTGTAAATATATATATATGTGTGTCTCTGTTTGTCTTTGAGGAAATTACCAAAAAGAAACAAAGAAAGAAACAAATAAGTAACTTTTAAATGTTATTTGGTTGTTATATTACTTTCTCAGATTTCTCTTGTAACAATGAATGGTAACTGAGGACAGTATGTACTGATTTCCAAGTCATTCTGTGCCAAAAATCATCTCGTTAAGGCTTCAATGCCTGGGGTCAGGTAATGCAAAGATCTATATGGAAAAAAGGCAGATTGACGTCACAAGTTGTGTAATTCCTTTGACACATGCCATCAGAGAAACGATAACCTGACCCCTCCATGGATCAAATAAAGCTCTCTTCCTGGAAGTTTACTCCACACCCTTCTATCCTCATGAGAACTGTAAACCTGGAGAGTGGGATTCCCTCAGCAGATATTGTCTGTGGAATTTGGCCAATGCTTTCTGGAAAGAATATTCCCTCCCCCAACCTGCACGTCTCAATACTTAAATTTCACTTCTCCAAAATGTGCCACAAGTTTGAAACCAAAACCAAACTAAATGTAAGAACAAAGAAGTAAGCAGCCTTGGTACTTGCTTGGGGAATGGGTGGGGATAAATCAGGGCGTGGTTCTACTAAAAGAAATTGGATTTACTAATGCAAGGGGACCAAATCAAGATACATAAATGCAAAAGTGGAGAAAAATCAGTTACAGAAAGAATCAATATCAAAAAGAAAAATGGAGAGAGAGAGAAAGAGAGAGAGAGACAGCTGTTTAGAGACTGAGAGACATTTAGAAAGAGAGAGAGACATTTAGAGGGAAAGAGAAAAACAAACAGAAATTTAAAGAGAGACATTTAGAGTGAGAGTAAGAGTAAGAGACAGACAGACATTTAGAGAGAGAGAGAGACGTTTAAGGAGGGAGAGAGACCGAGAGACGTTTAGAGAAAGAGCCAAACAGACAGAGAGCCATTTAGAGGGAAAGAGAAAAACAGACAGCAATTTAAAAAAGAGACATTTAGAGAGAGAGAGTTGGAGAGAGAGAGAGTTGGAGAGAGAGAGAGTTGGAGAGAGAGAGAGTTGGAGAGAGAAAGAAGAGAGACAAAGAGACATTTAGAGAGAGAGAGAGAGACAGACAGACAGAGATCTATTTAGAGGGAAAGGCAAAAACAGAGAGAAATTTAAAGAGAGACATTTAGAGTGAGAGTAAGAGACAGACAGACATTTAGAGAGTCAGAGAGAGAGAGAGAGAGAGAGATGTTTAAGGAGGGAAAGACAGAGAGACGTTTAGAGAGAGAGAGAGACAAACAGACAGAGAGCCATTTAGAGGGAAAGAGAAAAACAGACAAATTTAAAGAGAGACATTTAGAGTGAGAGTAAGAGACAGACAGACATTTAGAGAGAGTCAGAGAGAGAGAGATGTTTAAGGAGCGAGAGAGACGTTTAGAGAGAGAGAGAAAAACAGACAGAAATTTAAAAAAAGAGATTTAGAGTGAGAGACAGTCAGACACTTAGAGAGACAGAGCCAGAAAGAGAGAGACATTTACAGAGAGAGATATTTAGAGAGACAGAGACAGACATTGACAAACAGAATAGCTGCTATATAATACATAAAAGGTTAAGGGTCAAGGTGGAATCCAACTAGGAAAGAGTAATATTAAAAAGTGCTCAGTACCATATGAAAAAAATAAAATAAAAGTAAAAATAACATGTAGCGATTTTAACTTTAA